GAAGGGTTCCAGGTTTGATTCCGGTCAAGGGCATGTACCTTGGTTGCAGGCACATCCCCAGTAGGGGGCATGCAGGAGGCAGCTGATGGATGTTTCTCTCTCATCGATGTTTCTGACTCTCTATCCCTCTCCCTTCCTCTCTGTAAAAAATCAATAAAATATGTTTTTAAAAAAATTAAAATGATGGAAACTAGTTGGTGGACAGAAAAGAGGGTAAAGGGAAAGAATGAGAATTAAAACGAAAGGCAGGAATTATCTGCTCTGAGCACATATGCTAACCTATCAAAAATCTGAAGGTAGGTTAAAATTTAGCCACATAGAAGAAAACAAACAAACAAAAAGACCGAAGAGTTTTTTAATTCAAACTCCAAGAATTGAGCGCCTACTATGCATCAAGTGCTTTTATTCACCTCTCCTCATAGAATCTGCACAATAACTCTTAGAGGCATATTCCTATATACACAAGTAGAAACTAAAGTCGAGATGGTTAGGTAACCTGTCCAAGGTTACAAGGCCACAAATTTCAAAGAACTTGTTCATGCTTCCATCTTATGCCTCAAAAATTGAGGGGGAATTAAAAAAGAAACAAATAACATTTTAAAAATCTATAATAATAAAAGTGTAATATGCTAATTAAACTGGATATCCTTCCAGACAATCTTCTGGATGGAGCCGGGGCTGCGAAGGAAGCCCAGGTCCCGGGTGCCTGCTGGCAGTCGTAGGGAAGCCCAGATCCCAGGTGCCAGAGGGAAGCTGGTGCTGGCAACTGGGGGAAAGAAGGCCTACTCTTGCAAGAATTGTGTGCATCAGGCCTCTAGTAAATAAATTAAAAACTTGAGGGGAAAATTTAATAACATTCCCCTACCTTCATCCTCTCCATTAATCCTTTATTCTGTTCGCATTCTTTATTCCCCTCTAATCTTAGGCCAATGAATTGCAACTTTTTAACCTTTTCACCTCCATCATTAACCTTACAATTAACTTTCCTGGTTGACAACAGCATTTTTCAACCTTTAATCCATGTTCCTCTCTGATAAACATGAAAACTTCACACACCCTCTAGAGATTCAGATACATACACCCCGCCATCCAGATGGGTCACTCTCTACACACCATTTTCTCAGCCAAAATTTTACTTTTCATAGTTTACATTCCTAAAACAATTTTCCCAATATAATTGTGACATTCCTTAGAAATTATTATGTAGCCCTTGAAGATCAGTAGTTTAGAGAATCACTAAGAATTCAAGCCTTGTCAAGTGGCTTGCCATCTCAGGAGCTTATGCACACATCTATATATATAAAAGGCTAAGTGACCGTCTGACCATCTGACCATCTGACCAGCCAGTACATATGACATGCACTGACCATTAGGGGGCAGACGCTCAACGCAGAAGCTGCCGAACTGTGGTGACTTGGCAGCTGCAGTTCTCAGGTGATGCGCCCCAGAACCAGAGAGGAGGGAACCTGATTCCTCCTGGGGCTGCTCGATTCAACCTTCAGCAGTGGGTTATGTTGTTGCTGGGGCACTGTCGGCCCGGAATCTTGTTTACTGCGGAGCTGCCATTCTTCTAATTAATTTCCTATCAATGTGCACAAATCCATGCCCCGGGCCACTAGTATAGAGATATTCAGCAATGCACAAGGCAACATGCAATAAGTTCTCAATAAAAAATTATTACCTGAAATGATAAGCAGCTAAGAAGGAGTTAGAGAAGAGCTGGGTCAGTTCCTTGACAAACAGCAGTTACTACAATCAGCTATTCAGAAGGCACCCCACACACATTTAAAATTCCAGAATTTGAGTTTATGGTCATGAAAAAGCCATCCATTGTCAATAAAACTTAGAAAAGTAAATATATAGTGTACAAAACTAAATGACCTTTTAAACAGTATGTAGGTTGTAACCAGGGAAACTTGAGATTTTTCAACTTTCAATCAAAGAGCCCATAGAATGTTCTTGGGACTGGAACGCAAAACAACCAAATCAGCTGCAAACATACTAAGGAATAATGAGTAACAGGAAAGGCTGGACCTTGAATGGAATCTACAAAAAGGCAGGGTATTTGTCCAGAACTCAAGATGTTCTAATACTGAACACTAACAAAGATGTTCTAATACTAAACAACCAGTACAATTTTTAGGGAACTATTCCTATAGTCAGAAAAAGTAATCCCCTATACTAATCCCCACCTAATAGAAATGTCTTTGAAACAACTATTGCTATTCTAGTGGGAGGATGGGGAGCGCTGGGTTGCCACTTTCATCCCCTTTGCCTAAAGCAGATATCACTGTGGGATCGCAACTCTTTCCTGATAAGCCCAGCTTCTTCCTAACACAGATGCTCCAGGCAACTACAACCAACAAGTCAGAGTTGGCTCACACAATGAATCCACATATATGCCAAGCATCTCACTGACCTAATAACTTAGTCTTGGCAAAGAGGATGGTTCCTTATGTCACCTCTACCTGGTTTCCAAGCCAAGTGATGGGTCTCCCACAACAATTGTTCTTGATAGTTTGATTAACAAAGAGTCCATTTCTGAAAGTCTCTTCAACTCTAGATGGACAAAAATGAAACGTTAAGGTGCTGCCAAACTGAAGGCCAGATCCTAGACCAGTGATATCTCTTCAAAGTATAGTAGTTATTTGCCAGGCTGACAGCAATTACTGTTCTCTCTCCAGAACATAGCTTTAGCTGTACCTTGAATTATGGTATTAAAGCAAGAAACACAGGAGTTGGCACCTGGAAACCAGTCTGTGCGATTTACCCTCACTCCGTCCTTACTTGGGTATAAATTCCAACAGACATTGCTGTATGGAAGAACAGCTCTATTATTTCAGCGTTCTGAGAAAGAGTGAACACCAGCTGAAGAGGATCCTGTGCTATAAGGAGAATATCCTGAAGAAGTCAAACAGTAGGAGGCAGCTTGATGTGACCATGTTCAGAGTGTGAAGTCAGTAAGAAAACCCTAGCTGGTGTGGTTTGGTTGGTTGGAGTGTTGTCCCCTACACCAAAGGTGGTGGGTTTGATTCCTGGTCAGGGCACATATCCAGATTGCTGGTTTGATCAGGGTCAGGGCCCATGTGGGAGGCAACTGATAGCCAGAGGCAACTGATAGATGTTTCCTTCTCATAGTGTTCTTGTTCTCTCTCTCTCTCTCTCTCTCTCTCTCTCTCTCTCTCTCTCATAAAAGCATATTCTCCAGTGAGAATTTTAAAAAAACAACTGAGAAATATCTCCCACGTACAAATAACAGAATCTCCTGTTATCAGCAGATAGAATAGATTTGCAGGAGATTAATAGGTGAAAGATTAGCAAACCATCTCCAGGTATGAAACCAGCAGATTAGAGATGATAGATAGATAGGTAGGTAGATAGATAGATAGATAGATAGATAGATAGATGATAGATAGATGCCGGGGTCCAGCCCCAGCAGTCCAGGAGTTCCCAAAGGTGTGGACGGAGTCGGCGAAGAATGAAGGACACAAAGACAGTGTTCAGTTGATCAGCATAGCCAGGTTCTCTAGCCAGGTTCTCCCTTTATTGTCCTGTTACATCTGTATTTATACCATTTGATTTTAATCCTATCCATTCTATTCCAAAGGTTAGGGCATTTGTTATCTCCATTCCAAGGTCACTACTCTACTGTTCTGTTAAACTACAAGGAAGTAACTGAAGGAGAGTATCCTAAATAAAGATTATGTAGCTTAAGCGTGATTGTGCGTATGTGATTAACTACATGCCTGGCACTTAGTTAAGGGGTTTAGATAGATAGAGGTAGGTAGATAGATGATAGATAGAAAGATGATGATAGATAGATAGATAGGTGATAGATAGATAGATAGATAGATAGATAGATAGATAGATAGATAGATGTAGGAGCCACCGTGCAGGCTGGGTTTCATCCTGAGATAGGAAATAAAGACAGAAAAATGAGAACCCACATTAAAAGTTAGAGAAATGAGAACACTAGACCCTAAATAATAGTATTATTCTTTGAATAGCAGCAAACACATAACATGTCTCAGCACCCGTCTGAGATGTTTGATATATTTTAACATACTTAAACAAGCATATGGAAATCAGCGTTATTGTTCCTCCTGTTGGATCGATGAGAAAAATGAGGCTTCCTTAAAGCCTGGTATTAAGAAGCAGAGTGGGAGTTTGGTATCACATCTAAGAAAATCTGTACCCAAAGGCTGTACTCCTGACCGCTAGGCAAACACACCCTCTCCTTAGTTATGACCACTTCATTCAAACTACTGAACTGAGTCTCAGTTTCCTTATCTGTATAAAAACGGATGAGTGCCCCCCTGTCTTCCAAGGCTTGGGGGAGTAGATGCTGAGACAGTGAGCAGGAGAGCTCTTGTGATTGAATGAAGCCACAGATACAATGAAGCTGCAGCCTTCCCCACTGGGCCCGCCTGCACCACATACCTTTCTTTGCAGGATTTGGAAAGAGGAATGTAAGGAGAACAGAGGTCAAAGACACATGTTCAATGACATTTCAAGTGCCACCAATTAGATAAAATTTCCATGACTTCATTAAAATATTATCAGATTTTTTTTCTACCATTCAGCAATTGGTTTCTTATCTTGAGCACAAACATGATGCCTTAGTACAGGAAAGGACCTCTGAAACCAGGGGCTGTAAAAACTTGGAGAGGGAAGCGACAGCGCACTGCGTGACGGATAGAAAGAAGCGAATGCTATAAAAGGCGGCCGCACTGTTAATCGGTCAGTAAAAATAATAATAACGGAGCAGCGGGTGGGGTAGCTCTGCCTCCAAGAAGAGGAACAATAGAGTGGTCCAGGGGTCCCAGCCCCGATCTCTCCAGCTCTGCAGAAGCTGTCTGGGCGCTACTGCAGAGGATAAACCAAAACGCACACCCTGCGGACCACCGACCTTCCGAACTGGTCCCCCCTAAACTGGGCTCTACCCTCGGTCCGCACCCCTAGACTCTCCCTGAAGCCCTCCGAGGTGCGGGGACACTCACCTCTAACGTTTTCACCAGGATCTTCATGTACATCTCGGAGATGCCCAGAGACACCCCGAAGGCCGAAGGCAGGAGGATGAGGCCGAGCACCAGCGTCAGCCAGGTGAAAAGCATCTTCCCCACCAGCTCTGCGCCCTCCATGGCTGCGCGCACCCTTTCGGAAGGGGTCCCGGCGGAGGTCCGAGTGCGACGGCTGTCCCTGTCCCCGGGCACTCGGTTGGCAGCTCCTGGAGCCGAGGCGCGGAGCCCGGCCCGGCAGAATCAGCGCCGCCGCCTCCCGGCACTCACCTCTGCAGGGGGAAAAAGAGAGGAAGGAAAAACTTTCAGAACGACGGCAATTTCCTTCCTTCCTTTTGGGGCTCCTCCTGCGGGGGCCGGTTAACTCTTTCTCGGCTGGAGACCCAGACCAGCGCGGAAGCCACCGCGGCACACGCAGAGCCGGTGGCACCAGCCAGGGGAGGTGAGCTGGGGTGACCCAGCGGCGCCCGGAACGCGCCCCACCCGGTGCCTGATTTCCTCTGGGTTGCGATCGCGACAACTCAGCGGGTGACTCACCGAGGCCCTTGGGGAGTAAGGATCCCTGCGAGCGTCCCGCACTGCACCACCCCAGCCTCCGTGGGAACTGGCTCCGGGCAGGAGACTGTACTGGTGGATGGCGGCGCTCCGCCGCCCGAAGCCCTATTTCTGCGCGCCGCCCTGGCCCCACCTCCTCCGCCACCCAACCCGGAGCACCCAAGCTGGATCGGCTCCCAGAGCGTGGCACTCTCCTGGGCGTCCTCGTTTCGTCCCCTTGCCCCGCCTCCCCCAGCACTCTCAGCGGGAATCCCTTCAGGAGCAGAATTTTCACCTACAAAATGTTGGCATTCTCTCCACCACCCCCACACGAACTACTACGTGCCCGGGATGCTTGAGAAGGTCTTGTTTGTGTGGGCGCACAACAACTCCTTGCAAGGATTTTCGGGGAGAGCGAAACGCTCAGAGCGCCGAGAGCTCCGTTTACCCCGCTCCCAGGTCCCCCACACCTTCCCCTCCATCCCCACCGAGCTGAGCTTTCTAGGGTTGGGGTTAAAACTCTCTCCGCGAGTCGCCTACACACTCAGCTGCTGTCTCCCTGGCACAGAGATTTTTCAGGTGAGGCTCGCTCTCTTCCTGGGGTAAGAATCCAACCACAGATTCCCTTACTGTTCACGCAACACTCGAGCGCACTGAGAGCTGCAGAAGAACGCCAGGCTGGCCCAAGCCTTCGCCAAGCTGACAGCGCCGCCTGGATAGCATCCCCGCACTGCTGCCTTGCTAGCGCTGACGGGAACGCGGACTGCAAATGCCTGTGGGCATTTACTTCACTTCAGGCTTCTTAGGGAGGTGATCTGATTTTAAGACTGAGCTTGAGAATCCGGATTCGGGGAGTGCGGTAGATAAGAAAACCCGGCTGCCCAGGTTTTCCGGACCATCACTGATGGTCTCTTACCGGTGTTAACTGAAACTGGAAAAAACTAGGAGAGCCAGCAAACTGAATGGAAACTGTTGATAGCAAATACTGTAGAGAAAATGGCCCTTCCTCAGGGCGTGGAGGAAGTGGGAAGCAGAAGGGAGGAGGCCAAGGAGGGGAGAAGTTAAATTGCCAAGAATGTTCATGTTTGTCCTCTGCACCTCCTGCCAGTTAGTTATCATAAACCCCCTTTCCCACTAAGAAGGGGGAAAATGACAACTTGGTCATAAAAAACAAGTTATGAATGAAGACGTCCAAGCACTCGGTTTCTCAAAATTAAACGTGGTCTGCCAGTTTACAAAAACAGGGACAACACAACTGCTGGAATCTTTGAAAACCAAAGTGCTCCCTCCACCCCACCCCACCCCCACCCCCGCACATACACACACACACACACACACACACACGTGGAAACTTTTGCACTATGCCCTTTCATAGTGTTAGTTCTGGTGTCACTCTTTGTGTCCAAATTTCCTCTGCCTATAAAAACACAAGTCAGGAAGTGGGTAGAGGAGAAGGGTGAAAAAAATAGGTGAAAGAATTAAGCAAAACAACAAAACTTCATAGACAAACAGCAGTATGGTGACACACACACACACACACACACACAGTATAGAACCAAAGGACCAGGTCATAACTTAAGCATCTGAACCTTTTCAGAAGCCAAGGGTCTATTGTCTAGAAAGATCTTGAGTTGGTGCCCCTTACCATAAATGGCCAAGTTCCGAGATCCACCAATTAAATCTTGCCCCACCAGCACTTCTGTATATCTGTTCCCTCTAACTCTTTCAAGTCCCTTAACCTAGTCCAGTGAGCAAGATGGATTTGAGGCACCATTAGATCTCCCACCCTCTGTGTTGGCACCTTCTCAATCAATAAATCTCTCCTTACTCCAAACTCTTGACGTTTTGAGTTTTGGCCTTCTGCAGCATTGGGCTTATAAACTTTGGTCAGGTAACATACTGAAAATAAAAAATCTCCTTATCCTGGATTAGGGAGGTGTCTTTAAAGAGACGGGAAGAAAAGACATAGGCAGAAGGTCATGTGAAGAATGAGGCAGTGAGTAGAGTAATGCAGGCCCAAGCCCAGGAACCCTGGGGCCCTTGGAGGGAGCATGACTCAGCAGACACCTTGATTTTGATAGGGGGTTGGGGGGGGGGACCTATAACCTAAAAGGTAGGCACCTGAATTAATCTGAAACATAATAATAAAAGTTTTCTTAAAGTTTCCTTTTCAAGGCCTGTGCAAAGCGATTGAGGAGGTGACTCAGCTGTGAATCGAGCAAGCAGAACTGGAAAGCATGGCCAGACCTACCCACCAGGAGTCAAAACATTATCTCATGGCCTGATGACTCATTACAATACCCCAGGCCTGCACGCAGCTGCATTCCTTCCCAGCCTCACTCACCCTAGGCCTAGCCCCTTCCCCTATATAATCCTGTCCCCTGCACCTTGCTGGAAGACAGGATTTGATGCTTGTAAGCACCCTGTCTTCTTGGTTGGCTAGCCTTCTCAATAAACGCCTAATATGTTTCAACCCTGCCTTCATTATTGGACACAGCGACAGGCAGCCCAAGCCCAACTGAGGGTTTCCCTGTAACAATTTCAGACTGGGCTTCAGAAGTGAGAGAATAAATTCCTGTGGTTTTAATTCACCATGTTTGCGGTCATTTGTTAAGACACCCCTAGAAGCCCCATACAGTACGTGAAGGGAGTTCTAACTGCAGGGAGGATCCCACCTAGGTTTACTGGGAAGAGCCCAAAGGAGAGCAGGAGAGGATGAGAGGTGAAATGAATGAAGGAGAGCAGAGGGGCGCCCACCATTTCTTCTCTTCCCCCTCCCTCTTCACTGCAAAAGTGAGCTTATCTTGGCTGTCCTGTGTTTCAGGCGAGAAAAAGATGGAGAGCTTTGCACTGTACCAGGCTGCCATCTGCTCTCTGCATAGAGCTTTGTCATTCATGAAGCAGTTTAAAACAATCACATTTGACCCTAAAAAGAATCCATTTTACTGATGAGAAAGCTGAAACACAGAAGGACTAAATCAATTGCTCACATTTGTGTGTCTGCGCTGGAGTCAATCTAAGACTCCAAATTCCACATTGTTACCATTCCACCATTTTATGGATGGTCTGAAATTAAAACTTCTTGCCTAAAACCAAGTCATGATCCCCAGCTGGTGTGGCTCAGTGGATTAAGTGTTGTCCCATGGACCAGGAGGTCACGGTTCAATTTCAGGTCAGGGCACATGACCTGGGTGTGGGCTCCATCTCCAGTAGGGGGCATGCAGGAGGCAGCCAAAGGATGTGTCTCTCCCATTGATGTTTCTATCATCCTCTCCCTCTTCCTTCCTCTCTGTCTAAAAATCAATGAAAACGTTGAAAAATAAAAAAATTAAAAAAAATAAAAGCAAGTCATGGTGAGGAGTCTGCCTTGACAAAAGTCAATCTTTACTTTAACTGAGCCTGTCTATTGTCTATTTGCAGGCACTATAACAAACCTTTGAAATGTCAGAGTCATTTCCTTTTGCCAGACCCCTCTGGGCACAGTCACTACACCAGAGCAAGAGACCACTGAACCCCTCACTGTTCTTATCAGGTCAATTGTTAGCTGTCAACTTTTCTATTCTCACCTTGTAAAGGAAGTGTATCTCTATCCCTTTTACTTTTTATCCAGTCCCAGAGATGATCCCCTCCACCACCACCCTGCCCCACTTTGCTTTCCTATGACAACAGTCCCTTTGAGAAAGACTGGGACACAGATCAACAGAATAAATTTTCTGCAGTCCTAAAGAGGACCCAGTATCCGCTTCTTTCAAGTGGTTCTTAGTCTATAAACTGGCTCTCAAGTCTGGAAATTAACTGAGGGACTGTGGCTATTTTTTGTAATTCAAGTTAGACTTCTGGTGACCAAACCTAGATGTCTTCCACTTCTATAGAACACATGTGAGATTTTGGTAGACTGCCCACCTAGTTCATTTGACCACCTCCTAGACCAGTGGTTCTCAACCTTGGCTGCACATTAGAATCACCTGGGAATCTTTTTAAAATCCTGATTTCTGGGCCTCATCCTCTGGAAATTCCATTTCTTTGTTACTAATGTTGTGACCCCACCCCATCACAAAGAAACAGAATTTCCAGAGGATGAGCCCCAGAAATCAGGATTTTAAAAAGATTCCCAGGTGATTCTAATGTGCAGCCGAGGTTGAGAACTACTGACCTAGACAAAGCCCCAGGTTTTCCTCGAGTCAGCCTATTGAATAGGCCCTATTCTGATTACTACTTTGACTCCACTGCCCATTACAGTCATCTTGCTCACCTTGGCTTTGGCAATTAAGTGCAGCCACTTTTCCCCTGCCTTCCTTGAAGCCCATTATCCTCATTACAAGTAGGGATCTCAATTCATTGGTAGCAGTTGCCACCGTAAATTGACCTACAAAGAAGAACAGACATAGAGCTCTTCAAGGATACTGGAGCTCAACTCACAAATTTATTTCTCACAGTTGAGGTAAAAGATATGTCTTTGGACCTTCCCAGGATGAATGAGCAGGTCTTCATGATATGTATTCCACTGTAACATTTCAATCTCCCTACACCTTTGTCTACTTTCCTCCATAAAACATCAAGGTAGTTCTGGCATTTCAACTTAATTTAGTATAGATCACTGTTGGACCCATGTTTCAGACACTAAATCCAGAATTTCTTTTTAGTGGGTCTGTGATAGGCAGTTAGACAGACATGAGCAGAGCAAGGATGATTGGCCAAGTAAAGAAGGTGCCTAGCAACGGACAATCAACTGTAGGGTGGGACCTCACCCCCAGGGTTACTTTTCCTCCCCTAGCATTTCTCTAGTCATGTGGTTCGGACTCCTGACTTTTCCTCCCTAGAGATAACATCTATACCTCAGCTGTATTTCAGCTCCAGGCCCAGATAAGCAACAAAACCAGCTGACCTTAGGACCACTGCATTGAATAATGACCCCCTGCCCTGGTACTAGCCAATCAATCAGTGAAGATCACAACCCTGAAAGGACACATCTGGAAAACTACTGGGATATCTTATTCTTCAGAGAAACCTCAGCTCTGCTTTTAAGGTTTTTGGACTGATTGACTCAGGCCCACCCAGATTATCCAGGATAACTCCCCTTAAGGTCAACTGACTATGGACTTTATCACATCTACAAAGTAACTTCAAAGCAACACCTAGATTAGTGTTTGATTGAGTAACTGAGGACTGTAACCTGGCCAGGTACAGGCATCAGAAAAATCATCAGTCACATGTGTGAGAGAATAGGGTGAAAAAAGAAAGTAACATCTTAGTATTACTACAAAATTAGTTGCAACTTCATGCATCAGCTGAAAGGGCCTTGGGACCTCCAGGAGTCTCTGAGATATACTTTGAGAACTACTGACCTATATAAAAGGTCTGCATAAAAGTCTTTATCCAACAAAAAAATAATTGGGTATGGAGACACATTATTTATAGTAGATTGCCTCATACTCATGCCTCATTTGACTTATGTGAATAAAATTATATG